ATGGGCTCGTGATACGTGTATGTATGTGTAGCTTAAAGATATATTGTTATTTATATGCTTTTACATAAATGATTTTTTAAAGTTTTACCGTCTATGTTGGACTGTAACTAATTTGATTCAATCGTATTCACGCTAATGTTAATAATTATTTGTCATAAGTGTGAGTCCTTATGGTGTCATAATGACAAAAATGAGAGCCAACTCCGGCCAATTCTAAAGTATATTTCACTTTATAGGTGGGATCTCAGTCCCTAGGAGTTATTTTTTTGCCTTTGCCTTTTTGCATTTTTGCCTTTTCAAAAACCACAGTTTTTATGAAGCTGAAGAACAAGAAATAAAGAAGAAATTATTAAATTTTGTAAGCCGGCTTACAACAAAATGTAAAACTTGGAAATACTACAAAACATTTTTGAGAAACAAAATCAGAAATAGCTTGATATGCCTCTAGTATTATATAATGAAAAGTCAACGGCTACCAAGGAAGAATCTTTGTGATCTATGCCCAAAAGCCCAAAAAAGTAGATAAGCCAGAAATCAACATGTGAACAGTTGTTGTTAGCAACAAGTAGCAGTTTGTACAAGAATGCGCACTGCTTCAAAAATAGTGTGTTCATTAAATAATAATGAGAAGTCTGGACAAAACATAAGGAATCTACTTATTCCTTTCACTCCCCAAGAAGCCCTACATTCTATATTGATGCATGCAAACGAAAGAAACGCAAATATATATCCAAGTAATCAAAAACTGCATTCGGCATAGATTTTATGCTACTCAAAAAATCTTAAATTTACGGATTGTTGAGCTAATAGAACATTGCAAAGCTTAGTTGACCATAGCCGTATTATAAAATATACGTATACGCGAGTTCCAACGCCAGCAGTGGTCCTCGACTTATCGTCAAAAGTTCCATGATAGTGAAATGACTATGGTCGATCAGCACTTAATTTCAGTATGTCTTGTTCTTTTGTAAGTGCATCTTGGAGTTAACATTTTGTGGAAGAACGACAGACCTTCATCAAATCGATATTTTCGGAATTAAACTTTTGTGAGACTGAAAATATAAATAGTCGTATATTAGCAATTAAACCAACCTCTAACCAACTCATATACAATATTCCATAAATATAACAATACCATGTTGGATGAAAAAATTTGGAATACTTGCAGAAGCCTCTTCGCAAATGTGTAGACTTTGTCGAGCAGCACCAACAAATATGAATAATTTAGATTTGTTGATGCCGACTTATTTAAATATTGGCTGTCAATCCTTCAATCCTGGACTCGATTTTTCGAATGTGATTTACACATTTCTTAATAATTTACAACTAAAAAAGGCCAATTCGCGGTAATGATAAGCCGGTGGCACAGGCACGAAAATTCAAAAATTTAAGTGCAACTTAGAGAGGAAATGAGCTTATTGGTAGATATACTTATTACTAGCTTTCGGGAACAGTCATCTAGCTAATACCAGAATTAAGGCTTACAATTGTTCAGCTCACTCTATGCTGAATTTATATAAGACAAGCCGAGATAAACGCTCGCTAGTCGCCAATCGCTCGGCTTTGCCCGTTACATTTCATTCTCTATCGCTATCAATACGCTGTCACAGCGCTGCAAAAATAAATCATAGAAAAAAACTTTCGGCCATTTGGTGACCCCTACGTTATCGTAAACGCGTATGAAAATAAAGAAATTATTAAATATAGTTTTAATAGTTCCAAGCGCCTCTCACACAATTCGGTGTGAAGGTCAATAAACATCGGTTGTACGGTATTCGCGTATACCTGCAAACCATAGCTGCAGTCAGCATCGGATGCTGTATATATTGAAAACTTATACACAACGCCGACCGTTACATAATTTCAGTTGCTAAGCGGAGGATTTCGTTTTTCGTTTCCGTTCTACCCGCTACTTCTATTGTTCCTTTCGTCGCCATTAGTCAAGTGCATCGGAAAGTTCCCGTAGTGACTGTTGTATACCTTTTCCGAAAACAATTCGAAATGACGGAATCAAGTAAATCAGAACTTGTGCAACGTGCCCCAAAAACCAAGACTTTTGTCGGGCCAAGTCAAGCTCCGTGGCGCGTCAACTTGCGGCGTTAAATATACTCTTAAGTGACGAACAGTTGGCTAAGTTCGATGAAAGTGAATTGCTGGTGCGGTGAGAGTTAGTCAAGAGAATTATTTCCGACTTTGTCTGCTCTCAACTTAACCTCGAACGGCTAGAGATCGCGGAGTTGGAATCCGATGCGCGGACACAAAAGGGAGAATTTGCCGCTACTTAAACAGCGAAAAGAGAAACTCCATGGCAAATGCAACCGGAATTCCATCTTCCGCGATTTGGAGGAGCATACATCGATGGGCCGGACTTCTACGCTATGTTCTAAACGGTGGTGGGAACAAACGAGGACTTGTCAAATGTAGCAAAACTCCACCATCTTCGTTCCTGCGTGGATGGCGCAGCGTTGGACACAATTCGATCCCTGGAACCCACTGAGAGGAATTTTGACAGGACCTTAGAACTATTAAGTGTACGCTTTGATATTAAATTGTTGCATTTCCAGGCACACGTTCGGTCATCATTCAATCTACCAGGTGTAGAGACCCTTCCGCGCCCTCAGTACTATGCCAAATACGCAGGAAATACTTGACGGTGTTTTGATATATTTCATCTCTTCGAAGGTGGACCATAGGAACCTGGAGAGGTGTAATGAGAGGTTGCCTGCAAAGGACTTGCCGAATTGGGACAAAATTTCCACATTTTTGGATCTGCAACTCCAAATCCATCGCTCAGCGATCTCAATATCAGGGATCGGCGAGTCCTCGCTAGCATCGGGTAAGTGGGTCAACATTTTCGCACAATCCGCTGATGGCAAGTACAGCACGTCCCTTGTGGCTGCCGTTACCCGGTCAATCACTGATTATCACCCACAGTTCGACCTTAAACCATCTGAGTGGAAAATACCGGAAAATCTCGATCTCGCAAGTCAGAGCATTGACTTGCTTATTGGAGCAAGTTAATTCTTCGAGCTGCTTTGTATTGGACACATTCGCTTAGGAAACCATTTACCCACCCTGCAGAAACCCGGTTTGGCTGGATCGTCTCAGGGTGTCTAAAGGTAGGAGCCTCTACGCGCTCAACTTTAATTTCCTCGGTCCAAGAACCCTACACTCAGTCTGAGTCAATTTCTTACACATTAAAGAAAAGTAGCCCAGTAGCACAGTTTTCTTTCGGCAATAACTAGATTCTACGATCCACTTGGATTTACAGCCCCGATCATCCCCAAGCTTAACAGTTTTATGCAGGTCCTATGGAAGGATAAAGCCTTGCAGTTCCTGGTGTACTACTAACTGTTGGATATTTCCCGAACATAACATAACTTCGGCGAACATAATCATGATCCTAAAACCTGGAAAATCACCGACTGACGTAGACTCATACAGGCCCATTAGACTTCTGCCATCTCTGGGAAAAATCATGGAAGGGCTGATCCTGAACAGGATACTTACTTACGATAATGTCAGCAGTGCGATCCCGGACTATCAGCTTGGCTTTCGTCTTCAGCATGGAACTCCTGAAGAGTTGCATAGAGCTGTCAACTTTGCTTTAGAAGCTGTCGACGGTCAAAACATGGTTACCGATAGTTAAGTTAGTATTAATAGAAAATTTAGTATTTTTTAAGTTATCTGATTTTTGGCCCATTGAAGTACGGGCCTATTAATGGCGTGTGAATGCCGCCGGAAATTGCCTTTTTTATTATCTTGTGAATTGTAGGAGGGCACACTGCGGTAAGGTTAAGAGTAAGATTAAGATCCTGTAATGTGAGGCTAGTTTTAATGAATTTACAGAATAAAACCGCTCCGTTCCGTTCCGTACGCTTTGAAGTTCACCTTTCTTCGAACCTACGCGTGGGGAGCTGTTGAAGGCAACTCCGCACTTCACAAGACGACAGAAGCTTTAGAGAAGAAGGAGTATGCTATTGCCCTACCCTGATCTCCATCTATGCTTCAGATATGCCAACAAATACACCCATCCCTGAAGTTGAAGAACAAGACCTGTGCCGACGACACTGCTGTCTTGACAAAAGGCAAAGGTATTTGGCTGCCACATCTGCACTGCAAAAGTACCTAGACGCGTGTCACCAATGGGCAATGAACTGGAACATTCGAGTAAGCGCAGACAAATGTGCCAATATGACATTCACCAATCTCCGTAGCAGCTGCCCTGGAGTCAGCCTTATCGGAAGTATCTCGGTGTCACTTTGAACAAGAAACTCACGCTTGGAAGGATGGCTTGGCTTCTCACACCACGCAACAAGCTGGCACTTAGCTGTAAGGTGAAAATATACAAGTCAATATTGGCGCCAAGTCTTTTCTACGTTCTTCAGGTTTATGGGATAGCGGCAAAATCCAACCTCAATAAACTACGGGTTCTGCAATCGAAAATACTTCGGGAGATATCTAGAGCTTCGTGGCTTATCCGTAACAGAGACATCGAACATGAAACAGAAACTGGCTCAGATATACTTGGATAGACTTAATGGGCACTCCAATAGACTAGCCACTTAGCACCGATGCAATAAACAGCGCTGAACCAATCAACCGAATCAAAAGAAAACTTAAACGACATCACGCTCAAGACCTGCCAAACCGGACTTTGACATAAAAATATCACCTCACACATTAATATATCAAAAAAAAACAAAAATATCTTGCCCTAAAAAACCCTAAGACTAAGTACTTAAATTTATAAAAACCGATTAGATTAAGCTGCCAATAGGGTAGCAGTGTACTTATTATAACAAAAAAATTTTTTTACATCAAAATTTAAAAAAAATGGAAGGATAAGCTTGACTGGGATAAATCCCTATCGCAATCTTTGCAGTCGACTTGGTTGGAACACAAGGCCCTAACTTGGAAGACTAAAGAGCAGGCTTCTTTCTCATGCGCGTCGGCGGACGCCTTAAAAACTCTCAACCGGATTTCGATTCAAGCACCCAATGATCCTTCCAAAATTTCATTGCATAACCTCAGCCATCAGTGATCATTTTCATCGCAAGTTCGTACATGCAGGAGCTCAGACCTTGCTGGCCGCTCTACGGCAGAGATTCTGGCCTATTGAAGGCCGAAAAACGGTCTCTGCTGTCATCATCAAGTGCACTCAGTTCTTCAAATTAAAACTTAAACTAGTAGAGCACTTCGTGGCACCACTCCGAGGGGATCGCGTTCAGCCGAACCGCCCATTAGTCATCGCTGGAGTGGACTTTTTTGGGCCCTTCTATTCAAAGTCCGAGGTCAGAACCAGGCCTCCTATAAAATGCTACGTAGCCATCTTCGTTTGTTTCGCCACTAAGGCTACGCATTTGGAAGTCGTCGAGGATCTTTCAACACAATCATTTGTTGCAGCTCTGAAAAGATTCATAAGCCTGAGGGGAAAGCCTCGAACGATTTGGTCGGACAACGCAACCAATTTTGTGGGAGCTAAGAACGAGCTTATTGACCTGCGGCAGCTGTTCCTTAGCGATCCTCAACCCAGCGAGTTATGGAGTTCCCTTACGTCGATGGAAATCAAGTGGAATTTCATCCCTCCTCGTTCTCCGCGCTTTGGAGGCCTGAGGGAAGCTGCTGTCAATTCTGCCAAGTACCACTTTGCTCGCGTTGTTGGAAAAACCGTTCTCACATTTCAAGAGCTGCGAATGCTAGTTTGTGAAATTTCAAAAATGCTGAACTTACGGCCACTCTGTCCCATTTCAGAAAACCCAGACGACATCGATGTCCTGACTCCTGCAATGTCATTGTGTGTGACAAATGCAGCAAATATTCTGAAGAAAATAGAGCACCGAGTACCTCTCGTTGCTTCAGGAGCTGAGAAAATGGCACTCCCCCGAGCACAACGTGCAGCCAGGCAGCATGGTCCTCATCGAGGAGGACGACTTACCCCCTTGCGGTGGCGCCTCGGCAGGGTGGAGAGCACTGCCTCTGAAGGATAGATTTTAAATCATCAAAGGCTTTCAATGGGAACTTTTTCGAAGTGTGAAAACTTACCTCTAGCGGATTCTCCTCGAGTCAAATTGGCCAGTGGTTTCGTGACTTTTGCATAATCTTTACTAAATATCTATTGTAAGATGTCATGCCGAGGAAACTCTTTAGTTCCCTTAGGTTGGTATGTGGTTTCAGTCTTGTGGCACCCTCTACCTTTTTCTCGTCTACTTTGATACCATCCGCAGTTACTACATATCCTAAAAATTCAACTTGCGTTAATAGGAAATCAGTTTTTTCTAAGTTGAATTGCAGTCTGGATTTCTCCAGATTGTTGAAGACACTGAAGATTATTATGTCGTCGATGTACACATAGCAAGTTTTACCAATGTGTTTTCCTAAAACATCGTCGATCATTCTTTGAAATACCGTTGGGTCATTTTTCAAACAAAAGGCAAGGCGAAGAAATTCGTAATTCCCATTCCTTGTAGAGAATGCTGTTTTAGGAGTATCGGATTCCAACATATTATATAAATTTGATGGAATCCCGAGGTTAAGAGCGGTTAAATATTTGACTTTCCCTAGGCTTGCCAAAATGAAATTTATGTCCGATATCGGATAATTAGCAATCGTGACAGCGTTCAAGCATTTAAGGTCGATGTCCATGCGGTTATACATGGTTTGATGATCTCATTCCGCAAGCGTTCTTCTATCTGTTTATCCACTTCCCCTTCCATGTTTGTAGGTTAAGGATAGCTCTTTGTGTATATAGGGTCTGAGGTGCTTGTGCGAATATCAGTCCTAACGCTCGTGTCTACGGCCTCTCTGTGTGAAAGTGGCTCGAAAAATTTTAAATATTCACTTATAAGCTGCCCTTACAGATTCAGGGTATTTTGCGTCTATGAATAGGTGTACATTTACATTTCATCTCTTAGAATGCCGTCAAATGATGATAGTCTGGGGAGAACAAAAAAGGTGGGAACGGTATCATTTCCAGTCAGTTAAAAAAATTATCCAGTAATACAATGTGTTATTATATATATTACCCCCGCGGACTTAACGACAAATGGTGTGGGTAACGTTATAAAGCAGCGGAGTTCTTGGGGCAACGGCAATTTTTCCCCTGTTTTAGTCTCATAATCTGTGTATGGTATGCTAGACAGGCGTCGGTCATAAAATTTGATTCATCATCGCCAACACACTCTATTTCCTCTAAGGGGAGCAATATTCTATTCTATTCGATGAGTGTTTCAACTCCTCCCCCTTATTACTAGAATGTCGTTGACAACACATATTAGGGGCGGGGTCTGATGATGGAGTATGCTGGATATGGTAAAGCCTTTGAGCTTTACGGAAGTGTTCTAGTTAAAGTTAGCGCTCGGGCTTCGTTTAATGCCACCGGCCTCTCCCTGATGCGAGTTAAAGTTTGACCTATAAGTTTGGCCTGATTGGTTTGACTCGGGTTTGATTGCTGCCCTGGCCCCCTGGAATCTCGGAAGGCCCTATTTTGTGCCCTGGATTCATTTGTGCCCTATGGTTTAAATGTTTATTGTTAAAATTATGAATCTGGGGGAACCTTGGTGGCTGCCTAAACAAAGGTGCCCTTGACGTAGGGTTCCTCGGTTCCATCTTTTGTAACTCTAGACAAATAGAATATGCTTTTGGACGTCCGCAGGCTTACGGATTATAAGAAGCCTAGAAAGATCGCCCCCTAATAAAGGCATTAAGAGCTTTGTCCTTTTCACATTTTTAAAAGGGTAAAGAGTAAAAGGGTATACTAGTTGAAAATTATCTACCAGGCAGAAGGAAGCGTTTCCGACCCAATAAAGTATATATATTCTTGTTTAGGATAAATAGCGAAGACCAATGAGCCATGTCTATCTGTCCGTCCGACTGTCCGTATGAACGCTGAGATCTCAGGAACTATAAAAGATAGGAAGTTGAGATTAGGCATGAAGATTCTTAAGGTCCGTATGCAGCGCAAGTTTATTGTATCCTGCCACGCCCGCTCTAACGCCCACAAATCACGAACGAAACTAAAATCGCTTTAATCTCAGTAATATAATCTTGGAATGCAAGCGCATCTTATGGTGGTACTATTATCCGGCCTCAGGCCCTTTCTTACGCTCACAAAGCCCAAAAGACGGTTTTCGCATTTTCTAGAAAAGTTGATATCTAGGTAACTATAAATGATATGATTGATGCCCCCAATGCGAATTAAATGAAGCCACGCCCACTCTAACGGCCACAAAAACCGAAAAAAACAAAAATGCGAAAATCTCGGGAACTATAAGAGCTATATAGTTGTATTTAAGAGATGCCGCTGTAACTTGCCTTTAGTTTTTATCTGGCCACGCCCACTCTATCGCCCACAAACCGCGGGACTATAATCGACCACAAACCGTGCCGACTATAATATTTTTAAGAATGCCTTCGTTTAGCCATGCATAACTTATTTATGTCAATTTCTATCGATTTACCAAAAAATGTTTCAAATCGGAACATTATTTCGCTATTTATGAAGAAATTTAGATTATAAGGCTTCATATGGACAGTGACGTCACTATCAGGTACTCAACATGCTTTCTCTGATAATAGGTGGCGCCTTGTGAATTTCCATTACCAAAATGAATATTTTAAAATTGTGTTAAATAGTAACGGGTATCTTTTAGTTGCGGCACTCGACTATAACGTTTTCTCTTGTTTTTTTTTAAATCCGTATTTTTTCTTTTTTGTAACCATGTTCGGCGCGGTGGTCCGTATTTGTCCGTTTTGGCGTTTCGCTTACTAAGATACGGTTGCCACACAATCCACTGGACAGCTTTTGTGAATGCATCCGATAGCCTTGGCAGCAGATTGCCACTTACACGGAAAATTTTAAACATTTTTTTTTTAACTATTATTTTTTTTATTCTCTAATTATTACTTAACTTTTCAATTTTCACAGTTAATTCTTATTTGTTTTCATGGTATTTTTAATGAGTATATAGCAATATCTTTTTAGGCCCATTCGTCGATTGTACGTCTTGCTTGATGATAGTTTGGCTTCAGTTTTTGCACGAGTTGTATTTTGTAAGCACGCACACAAAGATCCTTCCGCTAAATCATCGATGGCGAATGGACTTATTCGGGTCTAAGCTCTACAGTAGCAATATCTTCTGTACGCACCGTACGGCGTCTCTGGGAATGTAAGTTATCAATAAGAGTAAACGTGGTGCGAAAACGTTCCATGGTTAATCAAATTAACTGCTTTAATGGAAGATTTTCTCGACGATAAAATTGACGTAGTGGGCAATACGTTTTCCGCACAGAACCATTATTTTCGAAATAAAATTACACTATTTGCAAGCCCAAACATTCATTATGAATTGCCAAGCCAAACTGAGAATAAATCACTTAACAGCTGTTAAATTGGTCGCCATAATAAACAGTAATGCCAACTTAAGCTTGTATAAAAAAAACATCCTTTATAATGTATTTTACTCTGTGGGGGAAATAACAAGCTTAATTTACAAGCCTCTTAACGCCGCATAGCAGCACTGCACGATGTCAAAAAAACAAATAACTCCTTCCCGACGCCTTTCCGCCAGCACAGACGGGACACAAACCAGGACGATGTCACCTTGACGAATCGGCCTATTCCTGACGTCCACTCGCTGGACTACATTGCCATCTAGGTATAGCGTTCTTTACGGCCTGCATCTCAACAGAGAACAGCACACATTGTGCTCTGCGGACCAAAAAATTTTCTGCTGCCTCACACTTAGCAACGGTGCGGCGATAGTTCTCAAGGTCATATCGTTGTCCATAGAATCAATTCGTGAGCATTAGGACCCAGGCCGTAGTTCTCAGCAAACGCCTGTAGCAGAATCCGGGCAACAATATAAGCGTACAAGCGCTCCAACGGGCTCAAACCGGGCACAGTTTGTTATATTTTAAGTAAGAAATTGGGCGCATCTTTTAAGCTGAGGCAGGTTAAAAACGAACAATAAAACAGGTTAGTGGTCAGATAAAGGATCTAGCAATTTTTACTCGCGTATTACGCTTAGCTGCATTCATTTTATTACGGTGAAGTTATTAATGTCTGAGTATTTTCTGGGGTAGGCTTACCCGATGAGACAATGTCTTACTTGTTTTCTGGGGAAGTGATTGCATTGTATAGTTTAGTGTTTGCCTGGCAAGCGCCCCCGTGTTAATGTTTTGCACTGTAGTCATCGGCTGCTATAAAGCTGTTACCTAAAGATCTCTAAAACCGTGGAGGTAGTATACGGCGGAAATAGTAAGTGGGTCGCTAGATATGTTTATGCGAACTGAAGTGGCCTGAAGGTAGTTACTAGCAAAGTTTCCAGAGCAATAGGTCTGATTAGCTGCTTTATTGGAATCACGGTTACTTCGTGTGATTTGCCGTCTGGATGGCCGTTTAGGATGTACCCGGTTAAATGGTGTTTCTTGTTATGTGGGTTTCAGATAGAAGCCCCAAGTTAATATCATGGGTATTCTATTATCGTATCGTTAGAAACGTGTGTTAAAAACATATGATTAGTGGAGTCATCTACACTGAAATTTGTTTTATTTGTAATTCCAAGAGAGAGAGAGAGAGTTTCGTGCTAGCTCTTAAGGGAACTTCGAATTGACAGTGTTTTTGAGCGTAGCTCACCACCGAGGCTCACCGAGGCTTGTCTGTTCCCGGCGGATGGGAGTTTTCTTAGCTATTTGAGCTAAGCAGATCTGCAGATTTTGGCAAGTGTCGAAACTTGTAGATGTAGAAGGCTGATGTATAGTCCTCATTGTTGGGTTTCGAAGGACATTGGTAAAAGAGACTCCGGTGGGTGGTCGTGATAGGTGATGGAAAGTTTGGTTGGGTGGTATGCTGCCAGTAGCTCTATGGTTCCGTTTCTGGCTTAGTAGGTTTTTGGATTGGACAGTACCGTTTCTTTTATGAGGCTCCTTCAAGGTAATTCTACGATGAAGAAGTATCTAAAGCTTGTATATGAGGCTAACTGAGTTTTTC